ACCCTGATCCACCTTCATACACGTTACAGCTCCTGTGTTCAGGTCTGTCTGTAAACACAGGAAGTCATGTGAGAAGGTCTCAGTGTCGAAGGTGAAAACACATCGACTCTGAAGGCTTTAAACTTTGTTTACACTGAAGAATAATCAACTGGTTGTTTTACCTCCGGTCTCTGTCTCTGTCTCTGTCTCTGTCCCGGTCTCTGTCTCTATCCCGGTCTCTGTCTTGGTCTCTTGGTGTCTCTGCAACAGAAATCGGCCGTGTGGCTGAAAAAAACAGCATAAAAATGAAAGAATCATGATTATTCTGTAACCTTTTATTTGATGATGCAGTTTTAAAACACAGCATGTTTATGAAAAACTAAATAAGTGAGTTGAATTTTAAACTGTTTTTATCATTTTAACAACAGAGCTGTTTAAACAGTCTTAGAGGCATCTTGGATGTTGTGTGTGACTCTGAGTGGACCGTCTCTCCTCAACACTTACTTCTCTTGATGACGGCTCTGATGGACGAGAGAGGACCCTGGCTGCACACAGAGAGAGAGAGGGAGAGAAAAGGAAAACATGACTCGTGTGTTTTCACCTCTGTTTCTGCCACATCCTGCATTCTATAAAAACAGCTATAATTTGAGACGATGCCTTGTTTGGAGTGATGTCAACGGTTTAGCTGCAGGTTTCAACCCTCCTCGCCACATTTGGCAAACGTTAACCCTTTCTGCTCCATGATGTCACCTCTGGGTGTGGCTGATGCTGCAGCTCTTCAGCTGACAACGATGGAATTGGAAACCACAAACTCAGCAGGAGACATAAACAGTTTCTGTGTCAGCGAGCTAAAACCAGGTTCAGGAGTGTTTGTTCAGTTTAGTTAAACTGCAACTACGTTCTAAACTTTCAGAATTAAAAGTCACTATGAGGCTGCTCAGCAAAAAAAAAAAAAAAGTAACAAGCTTTAGTGTTAAAGATGTTCTGCTCTAACTCAGTGTAATTTGATCTGTTAGTGCTCGGAGTGCGTGTTGAGGATGACTCTCAGCTACTACCACAGTGTTAAATTAAGTTCCACAAAGTCATACTTGAGTAAAAGTACAAGTATCTTACCAAAAAAACTACTTTGGTAAAAGTTAAAGTCTCCTTTAGGAATATTACTAGAGTAAAAGTACAAGTATTTTACCAAAAATACTTTGGTAAAAGTTAAAGTCTCCTTTAGGAATATTACTTGAGTAAAAGTCTTAAAGTATCTGGGGTCGGATTTATAAAACTGGCGTACGCACAATTTGAGCCCAGAAACTTGCGTACGCCACTTTTTACGCCAAGGTTGTGATTTATAAACTCCAAACTTGA